TATATATATATATATATCCTGACAATGTGTGATACTGATCTTCACTCAGCAAGAAAACAAATAATCGCCAAAATGGCCAACAAAATTGATAAAATGTACAGTAGGTTTGTCAGGCCGAACAATAAATTTTATAATAACACAATCACAATGTTGTCTTGATTTCCCATTTTGAAAGCTTTGTATTAATGTTAGAGTGAGTATGGTTGATTTGTACCAACAATCTTGTTTTTGTAAATATGAGTGTTGAGGCACTGCACCTACAACCAGCAAATAGATAAAAGCAAATTAAGAAACGCATTCATTAAATTTGACAACATAAAGAATCTGCAAGCATAAAACACAAGCAAATGCATAAAGTCTAAGTTGCATAAAACAAATGAACTTCATCACAATACACAAAGTTTAACAGTTAATATCTATAATATCAGAATGATATGACTAAATAATATAAACACAGTTAGCCCATTTTCAGAAATCATTGAAATCATTGATTTCAGAAATCATTGAATTTTAATGTCACCTGGAAATTTTCATCGTGTCCTGTACAAATGGCAGCATTTCTGTATTTGTTTAATTTGCTTGTGATGGATTTGTAAAGTTATTTCTATCTCTCTGGGATTTGTTAATCTGTAGTATACTACTCTATATGTTATATAAAGAGATTCAAGTGACACAGGTGTCTTCTATTTTTTCCATCTGAACATACTAAATTATGGAGATCTGATGTGCCATTGGTTTGCCTTTGGATGTATAAAAGTTCACTGCTGTTCGGCCACTGATAAAAATCATATTGTTCTAGATGTGTCAGTACAGCTTTTAATCTGCAAGTGCCTCTTGGTATGGAGATAACCTGTGATGTGTGTTAATATACTGTACACAAAATGGGCGATGTAGGTCACAACGCTTCTATAGGTAGGCGAAGGCCTACCGTGAGCGTATAAGACATCTGCTGCTCCCGGTCCACAGGTTTGAGGAGACTCAGGTACCGGATTAGCCCAGTTGGGGTCACAGCAAAGATCGTGGTGTAGTCGTTTAAGGAAATCTTCAACATGGGGTCTTTCGTCTTCCAACAGAAAGATATTAAAAAAAAGACACGTTACTATGGCAACATGAGTATTTACTCTTTTTTTTTTTTTTTGGTTTTTCACTGAGGACACAGCTGTGGGGCTAAGACAATCTATCGCAAAGTACTTTTTCAACTCACTGGCAGAATAAAATGTAATCTACTGGCAGGTCTTCCTACTGTCTTTAGAAAACAGTGGAGAAATAGCTGAAGATTTAACAAGGAACCACTGTCTTCTTAACAGGATTGTACAGCAGGACTTTTGCTAAAACAGTGTAGACCCTTTATATACCTTGTTCACATTAAAGCACATTAGTCCTTAAAAGGGGCTTTTCCAGCATTTGTTTAGGATGTTCAGGTGATAAATAAGCTGGAAAACAATTTCTAAAAAAAGCCATTTAGCCAAATATGTGTCATCACAGCTGAGGTGAGATTGTATTAAATGCACCTGAAGTCCACTGTGCTCCACTGCTGCAAGTTGGCTTTGATTCACATCCATCAGTGAGTCCTCTTAAGAGTTTGGTAAACACCAGGACTGGGTGGTTTATTGATTGATTTATTGATTTATTTATTTTATTTCTGTTTCCAGTCTACTTTGATTTGTTAATCTTCTTCAAAGACTGAGTAAATGGATATTTTCAAAGACAGACTTAAGATAGTGCCCATTTGCTTTGCCTCTCTGTGACAGTTTGTTTTCACCTAATTAAATATAACTCCATACGTGCAGTTAGGATATGGAATTAATTCTCCAAAGTGTGAGTGAACAAACACAAACATGCACCCATCACAGTTTGTTAATTTTATCAAAGAAATGTGTCAAAACACCTCGTTCATCCAACTACAAACACAAAAAAGTAACATTCATAAAGTAACATTCTTTTGAAAAGTTGATATTCAAACAGAATAACTGCATATATTTTGACTTAAGCAAGTGCAAAACCACCCTCAAAACATCTATCTGCATATAAAGGAGAACGCAGCACAGCAAACCACTCCAAACACACACTCCCATTAGAATACAAAGGTCAGTGTATCAGCTAGATTAATCTACATACACACTCATTACAAGAGACTGGCTTTGATGTTTTCTGTTACTTTAAACTTTCATAAATGGTCAATTAAAAATCATTTCTGCTGTTGTGAACACACTAGTGAGGTCACAAATCATTTTTGTTTCTCCAGAATAGAATTACAAGTTGATCATTGCACAGTATTACTGAGGATGTCTCCAGCAGTGATGAGTGCTCAACATGTGCATCAACGATAGGGATGTCCCGAGTCAATGTGCAGAGTACGAACCAAGCTTTTATTGTAATGGATTTACTACAATCCAAATATGGCAGAAGTCAAATCCATTTCAAAATGTTGAAAACAATGGAAACACTTTCTAATGTGCAGCACAGTAGAAAAAGAACCTGTTTTATAATACCCACATTACAAACTGTGCCACAGTGAGCAACAGATTTTTATGTGCACAATACAAACAAAAAAATTAACACACCAATTGGCATTTTCTTAAAGTGGAAATGGAAGTAAGTAGCCTAAATCCTGTTCAGACCCTCCCACTTCACCGGCCCACACTGTCACCTCTTTCTCCAAAGATATTATTGCAATTAAAGCTGTGATGAAGGTTTAATGCAGAGCTATTAAGCCATCAAATCCCTAAATTAAATTGGTTTTGCTGATATAAGTGGCCTACTTCAAGCTATCAAGTGTGCACAGCACAGCTGTATTATGCAAAAAATATATGAATATTGGATCAGAAGATATTCAATATTTAAAGGTCTCAAATCAGAGGTTAGGAGCAAAAACCTTGATCGGGACACCCCTATATTACACTCTTACAGTGCATAAGAAACAGCGCAGTTCCCTACAGGTCTAGCGCCAGGAGCCAGCTACAACAAGGGAAAAATACAGCAAGAAAATGACTCATGAACGTTTTACTTTTTGTGATTACACAAAACAAACACATGAATAAATGTGGTTCTTTAATCAATTTTTAATCAGTAAACTACATGGGCTGTGTTTTGTACGCACACATGCAGGGGTGGTGGATGTGTAACGTGTAGGCTCTCTACCTCCTCAATGTCATTGTCCAGAGCGATGATTCCCAAGGGGGTAGTGAGGTTGGCACTGGCTGAGATAGTCGTACCCACAGGGGATGACTCGCTCACATAGCCCTGATAGGTGGCAAACTGGAAATATGGCGCCTGGTTGTTCACATCCAGGATTTCGATAATGAGGTTGGCATAAGCTGGGAGGGGGTGGCCATTGTCCTGCTCAGCCTTAAAAAACAAAACAAAACAAGGCAGAGAAAGTCACGGTCATTCTCTCCACAATAACTATGTAAAACACTCTGCCGGAAATGTATAAAGAAGTACAGTACTAATAATGAGATGGATGCCGAGAGTCGCACAGCTGAGAAATATGCTGCCCCTATAAAGGCAGAGAGTCGCACAGCTGAGAAATATGCTGTCCCAGCAACAGAATGATGTCATTTCTCTGAGTGTCACTATAATTACAAAAAGGCTGCACTGACTAAATTTGATCAGGGTTCACATAGGATTAGACCTTAGCAATTACCAGGGCGCTTAACACAAATACCATGATTTGTAGGGAAGACAGAGTAATTAGTGGCTCTTGCTACTCTATTAAATGAGTGACCAATGACAGAAGGAACCCCAATAAACATATTACTACCTGAGTCAATGCCAAAATTAACCGATTAAGTAGTAAACAAATGTACCAGCTCTTGTTTCCAGTTTGATGCTGCTGAATGTGAAAACTCAGCTGAACTGAAGAATGTGTGTTTCTGTACAGTGTCTCTGTTTTGCCTGAAATCCGGACAATGAACCGTGGGCCAGTATGATATGATAAACCACTCCAATGCTTAAGCATGTTAATCTCTTTCTCTGTAAACAGATATGCAGCATCCTTTCATGGAACACAACTCATTTAGATGTCACCTTGTAAGTCTCCTTAAGACAAACATTAAAGCTACAATTGCTGAATCAGGTAACAGACAGCTCGTAATAAAACTAGTGATGTTCACCTGAAACCCTATTCCTTCTACCTATACACAAAATCAATAGACTTTCTTGATTTATAAGACATTGTAGTATGAGAACATGCAGTGTAACAGGACAATGTTTATTACAACACAGTATACACAAATCCCTAGAGCTCCACACTCGGCCAAAATGCCTGATTCACCTGCCTCCAAAATGAGTTTGTATTTGTGTCACGTACGGTACAGTGAACCACCCACCAAACTGTATCACACAATCAAGAACGTAAACAACCCTTCCTCTTCAATCTCAAGCACAGTTGGTGGGTGACATGGCTGCTTAGGTAACACTGCACATTAACACAAATCAAAATGTGTTGTCTCAGCTATTCAAACTGTACAAAAACCTGAAGAATCTGTACTGTGCAAGTTGCATCTGACTACCACAGCCCAGTGAGATCAAACCAAATGAACACGGTCTGGTCAAGCCGTCACTGCAATCTGTCCCTCCTTAGCACATATGTGACAACTGCCGCCCACACTGGGATGCTCCAGTAACATGAAGGCTTTGAAAACACAGATTGAGAGGGCGAGCAAGGCCACAAAGGTTTAAGCCATGACCTAGAACAAATTCTGCACATTACCTCGATTCCATGGGCTGCAGCTGAAGACTGGTGTGCAACTGGTGTCCTAAATGCTGAAGCGCAGGGGCTTGAAAACAGTGTTGACCCTATGACTACAGAACTCTGTTGTGCACTTTTGCAATTTTGGCACATCCATCTACCTTTCACTCCAGCTCTTTTTTTTACCATCACAATATTATGCCAAAACATCTTTCACAACCGTTTTCTTCCTTTTTCCTTTACATGAGTGATAATAAGAACACCTGCACTGCATTGACCTACAGATCCAATCTACTCATTCTAGCACCTGAGGGAAAAGCGCCATCATTGACAAACCGTGTGCGCCTAGATGTTCTCTTTTTTCTCGACATTCACAAGCACAATTTGTATAAAAGAAAAAAATAAAAAGCATGGTGTAGGATTACAGTGTTCCCTAGTGATTTAGCTACTTAAGCGGCGTCCCTGTTTCTGTAAGGCAGTGCTAAATGATCATTGCTCCACTGTTGCAACACACAGGCCTGCTAAGAGATTCATTGCTACCAGAAGTCACTGTTTATCACTCAGTCTTGATTCTCCCATCCTGACTCCATCATCCTTAAAGTGTCATACCCCATCTCTTTACTTTTCCTTTGCTAAATAAGCAGACCATTTTTCTCCATCACCATCTGCCTTTGTCACTTATCTTCATTTCATCCTAGTCATCTTGGTGGATATGGCTCCATCATGATCAGTGATGACTTTTGAAGAACAGCAGATGTGTTTACTAAAATATGCTAGAGATGCTGCAGCTTATTCCACCATCAGTGTTTTTTTTTTTTTTTTATTTCAGAATAAGCTATGTACACCATATACTGTGCTGCATCAGATTACTCTCAAGACACCGAAGTCTAATTCTCACTTTCCTACCCTTCTGAGTCCTACAGCAATGATTCCTTCTCCTCCCCCCCTCTAAGACTCAGTTAGATAAGGCTCCTATCATCATCCACACAAATCTCTATCCAGGTCTTTTTTTTTTTTTTCTAACCGTTTCCCTTCTTCTAGCTATGCACTCTTTTCCAAGACACAAAAAGTGTCTTATATGATCACCCCCCCCACCCTTGTGGAAATTGGCTCTTCTTCAAGTTCCTTTGCTCCCAAGCTCTCACAGTAAACAGCAAGTTACATAGCACTCAGAGGGGTTTAGAGGTTAGCGATGAGTGGATGAAAAGTTCATCTGCACTGCTGCTCTGCACCAGCAGCACTGTGGCACTACCTGACTTGGCTGTAAATTTGGATTCATGAGAGCGCAGCAGCCTATCCTCTAGCTAAGTCCATAAATCATAGTCTTTTTCACCCCCCCCCTCCAAAGCAGCTAAAGATAAGGTTAATGGCCTTAAGGACTTAAGTTATCTTGGTAGAGTGGGTAAGATTGCATGCTAAAGTTATTGAGATACGAGTTGAGCTTAATGTGATGTGAAATACATTAAAAACATGGGGATAAAAATTAGATGTTTAATAAAACAGCTGTTTGCGCCTAATGGTGAGGCAGAGAATCATTTTACATTGAGCTGAACCTTGATAAATCATGTTCACATTCAGTAGAAATACCTGAATATTTATAATTTATACTTTTTTCCCCTTCAGTCTTGCAGGACTACAGTATGTACATCTGTAAGTTAGCAGCACCAAAACATTATTATATAAATCAATTATCATTGATCCATTTGCAGCTGTACTGTACTATTTAAATGCACATTTTCAGATTTTATTAAATGTTATTTTTATAGATTGTGGTTTACCCTGTACAAATTACAGTAATGTTTATACATAGCCCATTTCAGGGCAACATAACGTTTGTGATACACCAAAGTTAGTAAATGAAAACAGTCTCATTTTGGACTTTGTTGCATATCCTTTGCATGCAATAATTGACTGAAGTCTGCAATTCACAGACACTGCCAGATGCTGGGCATCTTTGCTGGTGATGCTCTGCCAGGGCTGTACTGCAGCCATCTTTGACTCATACTTGCTTCAGGGGCTTGTCCGCTTATGTTTTCTCTTCAGCACATGAAAGGCATGCTCAGCTGGGTTCAGAAAGGGTGACCAACTTGGCTTGGATGTGTCTATACACCTCTCAGTTAATGTTGTTACTACCATCAGCAGTTACATCATCAGTGAAGATCAGTGAGACAGTTCCTGTAACAGCCATATATTCACAAGCCATAACACCCCCACCACTGTGTTTCACAGATGAGCTGTTCTGCTTTGGCTCCTGGGCAGTTCCTTCCATCCTTCATACTTTGCTTTTTCCATCACTCTGATACAAGTTATTCTTAGTTTCCTCTGTCCACAGGACTTGGCAAAATGTAACCTGTCCACCCCATTTCTGTTTCCCTTAGCCTGACAGTCTCTTGGCAATTACTGTAGTAAGATCACCAGCACTCTCTTCCTAGTTATGTTGCTAGAAGTTGATTTAAACATAAAGCTTAGGTACTGTTGCTAACTAACAATTTTATTCTTGTTTCTCAGTCTCATAATGACTTCTTGGACTTTCACTGTTTACCTTGATGACAAGTGTGAACATTTGATAGAAGTCCCTGCTGACAGGCTGCAGAACACGCAGCTCTGCAGTGGTTCTGTTCATGGAGAAATATTGTGGATATGCAGCTGGTTGCCCTGCAGCAAAGAACATTCAAAAATATGGATTCAGTGCTTTTAAGGTGCCATCAAGAACACCAGAATGGACATTCAGAAGTAAAATCATGGAAAACCAAATGAGCCAAAAAACAGAAGATATGGAAAATCATGGAAGATTTGTGATAAACCTACCAACCAGGATGGAGTAGAGAATACCAGGTCTGTCTGATGGGGGCTGGATGTTTCTGTCCATGTCCACAGCCCGAATCGGAGGAGTCGCATTCAGTGGGTTCAGTTTGTTCTAGAGCAGAGGGAGGAAAAAGTCACTCAACAACACAGCAAGACAATCATATGCAAATCCATTTATTTTCTGGTGACTTTGTAGCTGCACCCAACAGTTGCACAGATATTGCCTCCTAAAATAACTGAGTGCATCATTATGCAGAAACAGAAATTGTGTGTGCCACAGTATATATTAATACTTGGGATGATCTATATTTTTATTTTAGTTTTATATTTCTTGCAACTTTGCTCCTCCAGACAGAAAAACAGCATTGTCTAGAGAAGCTGCCCTGGCCCATTAAACCATTCCCAGCTTTTCAACAGGATGGGAGGAGCTGCTGTGACTGGGTGTTCTTGAATTTATACTTGTGTTCACATGGCTATACTCATGTGCTTAAGGGGAATCTGCATAACTACATACAGTGGGTACGGAAAGTATTCAGACCCCCTTAAATTTTTCACTCTTTGTTATATTGCAGCCATATGCTAAAATCATTTAAGTTCATTTTTTTCCTCATTAATGTACACACAGCACCCCATATTGACAGAAAAACACAGAATTTTTGACATTTTTGCAGATTTATTAAAAAAGAAAAACTGAAATATCACATGGTCATAAGTATTCAGACCCTTTGCTGTGACACTCATATATTTAACTTAGGTGCTGTCCATTTCTTCTGATCATCCCTGAGATAATCAGAAGAAATGGACGCCTTTGTGTAGTCACAGTTCTCCTCCATGTCAGGGAATGCCAAGACTAAAGTATCACTGGATTAATAAGAACGGCCACACTGTGGTAATTGTTATCCATGCCAACCCTGAATAGTAAGACATATAAAACCACAAAGACATTTCTGATATTACTTCAATCAACAAAATTCCTGATGCAGGCCAGGGCTTGAGTACACATAATCCACATTACAGTGGGCAGTTATTAGGGTACTTAAATAATAAGCCAGTGCCATTAGATCTGCTTCTAATTAACATATTCCTCTAAATACATCCAACAAAGTTGAACATCAAGGATAATCTTCTGCTGTAGGCTCCTTTTCCTGCTTGGAATGCATACTCAGACATCATCTGTACTAATTAACCAGCTCTACATCTATGCTTTTGCACCAACATATGGCTAAGTGGGAATATGTTTAGCACATCACATTTAAGAACACCTCTCGTCATGCAAACTGCCTCCGTATGGCTGATACAGTATGTGTGAATATGCTAAGGAGGCCTGTGCTGAACTTCTTTGGCCAAGACAGGCACATGGCTAACAGCTTTCTGGCAGGAAGGATTCCTCCCTAAGGGGGTATATTTATATCCATCAGCTCTGGGGTAATCCTTATAACCCAACCCAAGCAGCCCTCTCACTTCTACAATGTCTGGAGGTGCGCTAAATCAAATCCCACTAGCTCTGCACAATGATGATTAGCTATAATACCCTCCTCCAGCAGTCATTATCCAGGGACTCCAGAGCCTACATTTTATCCCCTCTGGGCAAAAAATAAATACAGATCAACTTAATAATGCCTGTCTAGCCATTGTGATTAATTACAATACACACATCAATTATGAGAATACAAATCTCCCCATGGACAAATATGTTAGCATAATGGTTACACTGCAGAATGAAGAAAAATCAGAGAGCAGCAAAAACTAACTGAAAACTGTGTGTACTCTATAGATACAATAAAAAAGTAATATCACTGTAACACCAGATCTTATTGGTGTGAAGCTTTGGGAGGATGACAACATGCAGTGTTCAGGGAGGAAAAAGCAGCATCAAGAGAGGGACAAACATTTTCTCACAGTGAGGAAAAGTCTTGGTTTGTGTAACGAGCATACTCCCAGGTCCTGCATGCTTAGCAGTCTCAAACCTTTTATCATAAATTATACATTGCATGAGGAAACTCCGAATGGAAAGTTTGGACAAACAACTGTGACTGATTCTGGCTGCTCCGCCTCAGCCACCAACACACCTAAATGCACTACCTGCACATACCTGCACCATAAATGTATATAAAATTTCTTTATGACTCCTCCTTACTTTGTTTAAATCTATAACTTATGATTTTCTCAACCAGCTACTGTTGTGTCTTTATAGCAGACCTCTGTATAATTTAGTCCATCTCAAGTCTACTGCCATGTTTGCAACACCCCAGTACACTTAACAGTAGTATTCTCATCTTATGTTCATCCCATAATTTCATCATGCTTGAGCTGTTGGTGGCAGTCAAACAGTAAATTGGCATGTCAGCCTAGCATAAACACACACACACACACACACAAATTATATTTGAATCAATTCTATTGATTAGAAAAACCTAAATGCTCTGACATTGCAGTAGTTTGATTTGTTCACATTAACCACATAAATTGCACAGAATTGAGAGAAAGAGTAAAAATAATTAACACTGGCAGATTTAGAATATATATGACCTTTAGTCAGTCAAGGGCCGAAACATAAAAGAAATACATTCACACTTTTGGGAAATTTGGAGTTTCTAATTCACACCTCTTTTACTGTGTCTTTGGACTGCAGGAGGAAACTGGGGAACTCAGAAAACCTGTGAGATTTGAGGGAAAATATGCAAACTCCACACAGAAAAGACCTTTACTGAGATTCAAAGCCAAGTCCTT